AAAAAAAAAATGTAAAGAAACTGACATAGAAAAAAAAATCACATTTTGAAAACTGCCAGAAGAGAAAATATATGATGATCTTACATGGCCAAAAAAGGAGGGGAAGGGCAATGTTTGACGCTGCACATCTTCACCAAGTGCACATTCCTTCTAAAGCAATGGACCAAATAATGTCAGTATCAGCGTTCATTTTCTCTGACTTTGCAGAAGAAAATCCTCATAAATTTTTACCAATAGAAATTTATAATGAATTTTCAATTGTAGAGATCATTTAAAGTTTTGGTAGAAAGATAAATGTGAGCAGCCAGGAAAGAGGAAGACAAGTTCAAGGGATAAAAACAGCCAGTTAGAGGATCCGACTTGAAGACACCACAGGCTTTGCAAGGAGATAACTTCGTTGCCTATCACAACACAGGCACAATGGAACAAACTAAGAGCCACTCAAACCACACTTCATCCTAATCTCATTAAAATAAAATTGTGGTTTTGCCCTACCCCCTTCATCCTCCACCCAGCTTTTCCGTGAGCATTTTGGAAAGACAAGCGCTCCAAGAGGAATGGGTGTATAACTAGAGCTGTCAATCCAATGATCTCAATCAAAGGAATCCTGTCAATCAAAGGAAGTCCCTCCCAGCTAGGACAGGATAAATACACCCTTCCCTAAAAGAACAGGACCTTTGTCTACCTTGAAGCTGGCCCACTCCTCCCTTGGAGCGCATTCAAATAAAACATTTTCTCTGCTTTGCCCGTGTGTCCCTTTGCTGTTGTGTCCCTGCCTTTCAATTCTTTGTTTCGGTGGGGATGAGAACAGGAGAACAAACTCAACCCATAACAAAAGCTGTAAAAATTGATCCCAAAGAAACAAGACACAGACAGTATCATAATTTCAGGAATTTAATGTGAAATGTGATTTGTATAAATCTGCCAATGTATCCTTACATATCCTTATATTTAAGACTTTTCCTAACTATTTATACATCTATTGCTCCTAATACAACTTTTCAAAATTAAAATTAACAAGAAGTGTTCTCTGGCCACTTAGAATGAAGACAGAATGACAAATCTAAGTATGCTATTGATTAAATATCAGTATGTGAAGACAAGTGTATTAGTTTCCTGGGGCTTCCACAAGAAAGTGTCACAAACTGAGCAACTTACAAAAAGAAGTTTATTGTCTCACAGTTCCAAAATCAATGTGTCTACTGGGCCATTAATTCTTTGAAGGGTCTAGAGAAGAATCTGGTCCACACCTTTCTCTTAGTTTCTGGTATTTCACAAATCCTTGGCAATCTTGGCTTGCAAATGTATAACTCCAGTCCCTCTTCTTGGTCACCAGGGTTCTTCTGCGTATCTTTCGTCTTCACATGGTTATCCACTCCAAGTGTCTTTCTCTCCATTGTGTTATTTTTATAAGGACACCAGGCATTTGGATTGGATGCCCACCCTATTCCAGTATGACCTCATCCTAATTAATTGCATCTACAATGACTCTATTTCCAAATAAGGTCGTATTTTAAGGTACAGTGGAGGAGGTTGGGAGGGGTTAGGACTACATATATTTTGGCAGGAGGATGGAATTCAACCCAGAACAAGGAGAGTTTTGACAAAAGTCATTGCAGATTTGCAGATATTAAGGCTCAAAACAGAAACTATAATGTTATTGTACATTACTTTAACTTAAATGCGCTGGTATGTTTTTTCCCTTCTTAAAAAATACATTACGTAATTACAAAGTATTAACCCATTGAGTGCTGTAATTTTTCTTCAACTGGGATGATTATATATACTTCAACAAAAGAACACTTTATCTGAGGGTCTTTTCTGAGCATCACTGTTACTCGTTCATTTCACCGTTACTACGATAAATGATACTGGTAAAAAGTGAGGCGCCCAGGCTGGCAGATACCCCGGCTTGCCACCGCTCAGGGCACCCCAGGGCCTGCATTACGCGACCCCTCCGGGCGCCTTTCCCCTCAGATACTCACTTGCCCAGCAGTCTCCGCGGCGGAGATTCCCATCGTCCTACAGGACACAAGACAACTGACGCAGCACCAGAGAAACCCGAAGGGCGGCTCGTCGCACACTAGGGGGCGCCTAGTTCCCTGGGCCGATGGGCAAGCGCTCGCACTCCTCTGATGGAGGTCAACATCCCCTCTCCGCCCTCCCCCGGGGTGCCAACGAGGCAGGCTCCACGCTCATGCGCAAACACGTCCACCACGCACCTCGGTACGGCGCATGCGTCCTCTAGAACCCGCCTCTCCGCCGGGTCTCCTCTAGAGCTTCCGTTTCCGGCCCCACAGTGGTGGGGAGAAGCGTGAAAATGCGGGTTTCCGTCGCTGTCGCCATCTCCCATGGCCGCATATTCCGCCGCCTGGGCCTCGGTCCAGAGTCCCGCATCCACCTGTTGCGGAACTTGCTTACGGGACTAGTGCGACACGAACGCATCGAGGCCTCATGGGCACGCGTGGATGAGATGAGGGGCTACGCCGAGAAGGTGAGGGCGGGACTCTGGTCCACCACGCAGGCCTGGCCTGAGGGGGAGGGATGGTGCCGGACGTGAGGAAGAAGTGGGCCCTCCCTGGTCACTCGGAATGCCCAAAGTTGAACTTCCCAGTACCCTGAGCTGAGCTCATTATTCCGTCTCCTCAAATTAAGACTGGTTAGGGCTGCGGGGTTAGGGGTGGCCTTCCAGGAGGAAGATGCTTTGCTAGTGGAATGAATGGATTGCAGTACGGCATTGGAGAAATATGATTGAAGCCTCCTTTCTTGCTCGGATTTATCAGTGATATTATGCTCTCACAGCTCATCGACTATGGGAAGCTGGGAGACACCAATGAACGAGCCATGCGCATGGCTGACTTCTGGCTCACGGTGAGTGCATCCTTTCTGCCTCCCAAATCTCATACCTGGGGAATAGGACCTTAAAGGAAAGGGGCCTGGGCAGAATTAAGCCAAGATACTCACTTATGGACAAAAGTTATGAACTAAGAAACGTGTGTCTTAAGTTAGATGAATTCAGTGTGAATTTGAATTTGCACAACCACTTGTAACTGACTCCTGTGTAACTCTGGCTCTACCACATCAGTGGCTGTGTGTATTTGGACTTTACCTTTGGGTGTGCTGAAAGAAAGTTAAATGTCTCTGCAGTGGTGCCTGACTCTGCTCTCTCCTGGATAACTCTCTCCTTCTAGGAGAAAGACTTGATCCCAAAGCTGTTTCAAGTTCTGGCCCCTCGGTACCAAGGTCAGAATGGGGGCTACACGAGAATGCTGCAGATACCAAATCGGAATAAGCAGGATCGGGCCAAGATGGCAGTGATCGAGTATAAAGGGAACTGCCTACCACCCCTGCCCCTGCCTCGCAGAGACAGCAACCTTACACTCCTAAACCAGCTGCTTCAGGGGCTGCAGCAGGACCAAGAAGCAAATATCCACAGCTCCCACACAGCTCAGACACCAAGGATTTAACTGGAGCCAAAGGGTGTATGGCCCTCATCAGTGCCCATGATCCCAGGCCTTTGGAGCTCTTCTAATCTCTAGGAAGAACTGGAGCTAGAGTTGTAAAATGGACAATCTTCCTGGAGTACAGAACTTTCTGGGGAGCCAGATAACCATTTCTTTGCACTATAGATAAAATTCCTTGTATGAATACATGTAAATTGTTTTTTTTCCCTCTGCCTGATATTTCTGAACAATGAGAATTATCCAAGTGCTCAGTCTCCTTGGGATAGTAAATTCATGGTGTATGTTTCTGTTTATAGATGTGGGCTGTTTGGTTAGCACTGTTTTGTTTCTTTTAATGCCAGTTTATATGGGGAATGCATCCTATAATTCCAGACTGACCCCAGAGTTTTGATATCTAGCATAGAGACTGAACTGGGATTTCTTAGAGAAGGAGTACTTCCTGGAACGGTGGGAGAGTGAACATCTAGAAATGAACCTTTGGTAATAATCTGGTACCCTAATAACCTTCAAGGAACACTACAGCCATTCCTCTGCTTCTAGACAGGATCATACATTACTCTCCTGTGCTCCCCTCAAGCCCTGAAGGGGCCTCCAAGGAGAGGACCTGAACACACAGATGTGCCGCCATCCTGGCCAAGGGGCTGAAATTCAGCAGAGGATGTTGGCCTCCAGGATAAGCTCCTTCCTCTTGGGGTGGGGGTGAGTGGTTGTGAAGGAGAGGGTTGAAGTGGGAGGAGGATTAGGAAGTTAAATCTGCTGGGAATTTCCTGGAAATTTTTATTGTCAAATCTGGGTCATTGTGGGAACTAAGAAAAGGGAAATCCGGCTTCAGAATGGCCAGGGCGTATGAGAAGGAGGAGATCCTTTATATGCACTCTTTACTGTGAAGCCAGACTTGGCCTAGCCAGGCTGCCCATCCCTCAGCCTCAGAGGCTTGACTAGGGAGGATTTGGAGCTGTCGTCCTGCCTGAACACTTGATAGCAGGTCCTGACAGTTTCCATATCCCTAGTACAGTGAGGAAAGGCGATTTTATCTTAGGCTGGCTTTCAGAGGGTATTTGGTCCACTGAATTAACCCATCCATTATCTGAGAGAGTAATGGGGAAAGTGGAGGGGTCGCTGGTCTAGCAGATAGACACTAGCCTCTGTGACAGCTACTTTGATGCTATTTGACTACAGCTGCTCTAGTCTGAAACCTGCTCCTGAGAGGGTTCTCCATCTCTTTACCTTTATTCCAACTTGTCCTTAACATTATTGTCAGAAAGCTCTTTCTGATACATTCTGAGTAACATAGTAGACATTCAAAGCATTTATGAGTAAATGTACAATTATGCATGCTTCTCCCCCCAGATTCAACCCTTTTCTATCCTCTTGGCATGAACATTCACTTTAGATATTTTGGAATCATCCCAAGAGAAAGCACTTTCCTTAAAATACGTCTTTAAGTATTGGTAATAGGTGGGTTATGGCTGAACCTCTACAGCTTTTCCTCCTAGCCTCCAGAAATATACCTTCCTTTGGGGCTTTCAGCAGTTGGTAAGTGCCTCTTAAGCGTCTGCTAGTACCCAGCATAATTCTGGGTACTAGGGATACAATCCTTATCAAGTGTCTGCCATGTCAGGCCCTAGGCTAGGTACTCGGGGTATAGAGATGAGAAGAAACAGCTTACGCCATCAAGGAACCCACAATCTAATGGGCCACTCCCCCTGCCACAGTGGTCTCAAGGGATGCTGCATCTGGTTTAATATTTTAGCCCACAGAGTACAAGACTCCTAGAACACTTAACTAAAGGCTCAGGGATAACACAAGGGAAATAATAATGTATTAGTTTTTGTAATCTGGCTATAAGTGATAACTTTTCTCCTCAGTGGAATATGCCTTCAAGTCCATCTAGGCATTAGGATTAATAAATTCCAAACCCCCAAGGGATGGGCCCAGATACACTGGAATTCCCTGTCTTTCAAAGGTTCTCTGTCTCAGGCTCCAGTTCTTAACTGCAAGGTTGATAGTTATGCCCACTCGCTTCAAAAATGAACCTACTCTAGCCTCAGCAGATCAATGACATAGAAGCCTGATATCCAGAAGAGACAACTACAAAAGCCAGGAACTGTTCCCTTACATACGTCTTTACGTGTAGTCAATAAGTCATGATTTTATTTCCATGTTTCTCAAATCTGCAGTCACCTCTCCTCAGTCTGAGATCCAAGACATCTGTATCCTGGATTACTGCAACAGGCTCCTTGTTTGCCTCCCTCCATACTGCAGACAGTGATAGAAATCTTGTACTTTAATTCTCTGATACAATCAGTGGTTCCTCCTTTCCTATGGGGAAAGATTCTAGGTTCCTTACTACAACTGCTTGGTGACTAGCCATCTGCTTAGTACTCTAGCTACTTACCTTCCCTCTCATTTCACACTCCAGAAGCATGAGAGTCCTTATTTTGAATGATTCCCTATGGACAACTCCCTTCACCACCTTTTGTTTATGCAGTCTCTACCACCCAGAGAACCCTCCCCCTTTTATGTACCTAACTTGAACACAAACTTTTGGCATCTGGGCGGCTCCTCTGACCATCCCCACACCTAAGTTCATTACTTTGTGAACCTAGGTAGGAAAAACAGTATTTCCATTACGCAGTGAATGACCACCTTGCTTTACCATTCCCTGCACTGGGCTGGTTCCTAAACATCCACCCCAGATTTGTCTAAGGCAGTTATACTATTTCCATCCCCTTGCTACCAGTGGGTTCAGGGATGGACAGGCCTACTGTAATTTGCATTAAGAATCTAGTCTGCTCTGCTGGATAAAAGTAAGGTAGCATGTTAGTCTTGGTGCACAGGGGGCAGGCCAGACAACTAAAACTGTATAGTAATAATTTTCTTAAGTGATTATTCCTATTTGAGCTGGGTGTTTGGTTTTTTGTTAATTGCTACTAAAAGTAATCAGATATATTAATTTGTAATGAATAAGTTTCTCAAAATTTTTTTTACTATGGCTCAGCTCAAAAAAATCTACATCAGAAAACAGTATTTATATATAATTGAAACAAAAACATCACAAAAGATTATTTACCTTTTAGAAATATGCACACTAATATTGTCTACTCTTCTAGTTCACTTTTTTTTAAAAAGCTGGTCCCAATTCAATATACTGGTTTTAAAACTCACTAATGGGGATAACCTATTATTTGAAACATACTGATCTTAACCAGCATTACAGTGACTCACCATTGCCTTTGCTGGATAAAATCCAGACTTATATCATGACACAAAGGCTTATGGCCTGGCTCAGCCACCTCTCAGCCTCTTTTCCTGCCATTATTTGCTGCCACCCTTCATAGGAAACTACTTATTTTTCTCTAATACATCATTCCTTTGTGTATGATGTTGCCTCTACTATAATGCTTTGCTCTGTTTCAAGTTACCTCCTACCTGTCATTTAAATCTGCTCAGAGGTCACATTTTTTAGGCCCTCTGCAAACTCCACATCCCCCTCCAAACACAGCTATGTCCCTTCCTGGTGGGCAGTACAGTCCTCTGGGCATACACCTATCAAAGCATTCATCACACTATTAATACAATAACTTGTCTACTTGACTGACTCCTTCACTCAGTAGAGCTCCCAAAGCCAAGCACTAGAACTCATTCTCCTGGATAACTTCCTACCATAGGACCTGACAGATGCTCAACATATGTTTATTAAAGAATGAGTAAGCTACATGTTCTCCATGAAATTCAACTCTCCAGCTGGGCTTTACAAAACAAGGTACTCTGTTCAGGTTTAGTGATGAGCTACACTGCTGAGTATACTAAGGCTAAAGAAATGGGCTCCTTCCTCTCCAGGGATTTACATACTCAAAGTGACTGTCAAGAATGTGTGTTTAATGCATGTCCCACACATTTCATATTCCAATTTCCTGAAATATTTCTAACCAGTCTACAGACACAAAACACCTATTTATTTCCCAAGACAGCCAAAAGCTGAAATGATGCCTCTTTTGCAAAGTATTCACTGAATTCCTCAAGCAAAGCTAGGCACTTTTCTGGTGGTCATTTTCACACTGTATATCCATTGTGGCACAGTTACACTGTTCAGCACCCATTACTAGACAGTGAACTTCTTTAGAGTAGGGGACATACCTAATTCAATCTTGGGCCACCCAGTAGAGAACATGGGACAAAATGGGCATCTGTAAGTGTCTATTGGTTGAATCAATGTGGTCTACTAAGTTCTGCCTAGTTCTGCATTTTGGGCTCACTAACTCCTCCCTTCCTGGGTTTCCTCCTACTTCATCAGAAAAAGAACTTCCTGCATAGCTAACTGCCCATTGTTCACTATTGGGTAATGTCTGTACCTTTAAGGCTTTCCTCTCTGTGCCCTGAAATGAATGAGCATATTCTAGCTCTCTGATTCTAGGACATGAATTTGGTAAAGTGGAGATTCCCAAAAACAGAACTGGTCTGTGTGCTTGTATTCTGAGGAAAGAAATTTAAAGTTTTCTGACAGTTTTGCAATCTGTTCCACAACACATCTATTTTGTTGTTGTTATCATTAATCTACAATTACATGAAGAACATTATTTTTCTAGGCTCCCCCCTTCACCAAGTCACCCCCCAAACTCTTTTACAGCCACTGTCCATCAGCATAGTAAGATGCTATAGAATCACTGCTTCTCTTCTCTGTATTTCACAGCCCTCCCTGTGCCCCCACACACATTGTACATGCTAATCATAATGCCCCCTTTTTCCCCACCCTT